CTCCCTCTGACTTGAAACGCTCCGACCCATCTGAAACGAACATGCACATCATTTGGCACGGTTCACAGTGCATTCCGAGCAACCACATTCGCTGCTGATGAGGGGCAGCAGATGTTGGAGATTAAAGTCTCTTCAGTTTCAGACCAGAACATGTCAACAGACCTTTGGCAGGGAGTCCTCCTTCCTGGCTCCCACTGCTGAGTGCACTCAGCTACAAAGTGTCTGTGACACAGGCAAGTGTGAACAAAGAACAAAGAAAATTACAGCACAGGCACAGGCCCTTCTGCCCTCCAAGCCTGCGCCGATCCAGATCCTCTATCTAAACCTGTCGCCTATTTTCCAAGAGTCTGTATCCCTCTGCTCCCTGCCCATTCATGTATCTGTCTAGATACATCTTAAATGACGCTATCGTGCCCGCCTCTACCACCTCCACTGGCAACGTGTTCCAGGCACCCACCACCCTCTGCGTAAAGAACTTTTCCCCTCTCACCTTGAAATCGTGACCCCTAGTAATCGAGTCCCCTGCTCTGGGAAAAAGCAGGTGGGAAGCGACAGGGTGGTAAAACAGGAGGGTTTGGAGGGCAACTGGGGGAATATGGGGCACATGTAAGGGACAGGAAAGGGCATTTGGGTAAGCAACAGTAGATCCTCGACTGTGGGAAGGTGGAGGACAACCACTCAAGCTCTGAAAACGATGAGGGAAGAGCTCAGTGAGTCGGGATTTCAGCCGAACCTGGAACTCCGCACTATCATCGTCTCCACACCCCTCGATACCTTCACTATCTCTGCCTCGAACGTGCTCAGTACTGAGCCTCCACAGCCCTCCAGGGTCGAGAATGCCACCGATTTCCCACCCTCCGAGTGCAGAAATTCCTCCTTTTCTCTCTCCAAAATGGCCTCCCTCTTTTGCCAGGATTGGGACACCCCCTCCCAGCCTGGAGGGGGTGGGGGGGAGCGTGGTGGTGGTGGTGGAGGTGGAGGTGGGATGGGAGCGTCCTTCCTGTATCTGCCCCGGCGAGCCCTCTCGGAATTCGGTCAAGGGGGGACCGGAAACGTGCACAATGCTCCCAGGCGCTACGCAAACGCAGCAGCTGATCCGGGGCCAGGGATGAGGGGCTTCTCACCGAGGCGGGGAGAGGAGATGTTGCCGTCTCTCGGGGAGTGCAGACCATCGGGGGGTGGGGAGGGGGGCGCTTGAACACCAGAGTTCACAACTCAGGGAGAGAGAGAAAAGGTTTCCCACCGACCAAGGGACTGGGAGCCAGGGTCCATAGATCCAGCGAAAGGAGCAGAGAGAAAATTGGAAGAGAAATGGGAATGAGACATCGGAGGTGCAGCAGACAGTGAAGGAGGTTATATAACAGTACAGCAGGATCTTGATCAGATGGGCCAATGGGCCAATGGGCCAAGGACTGGCAGATGGAGTTTAATTTAGATAAATGTGAGGTGCTGCATTTTGGAAAAGCAAATCATAGCAGTACTTACACACTTAATGGTAAGGTCCTGGGTAGTGTTGCTGAACAAAGAGACCTTGGAGTGTAGGTTCATAGTTCCTTGAAAGTGGAGTCGCAGGTAGACAGGATAGTGAAGAAGGCGTTGGGTACGCTTGGTCAGTGTATTAAATATGGGGGTTGGGTGTCATGTTGCGGCTGTAGAGGACATTGGTCAGGCCATTTTTGGAATACTGAGTTCAATTCCAGTCCCTGCTATAGCAACAGGATTGTGAAATTTGAAAGGGTTCAGAACAGATTTACAAGGATGTTGCCCAGGTTGGACGGTTTGAGCTATAGGGAGAGGCTGAATAGGCTGGGGCTATTTTCCCTGGAGCGTCGGAGGCTGAGGGGGTGACCTTAAAGAAGTTTATCAGATCATGAGGGGCATAGATAGGGTGAATAGCCAAGGTCTTTTCCCCCGGGGGAGTCCAAAACTAGAGGGCAGAGGTTTAAGGTGAGAGGGGAAAGATTTAAAAGAAACCTGAGGGGTAACTTTTTCACGCAGAGCGTGGTGCGTGTATGGAATGAGCTGCCAGAGGAAGTGGTGGAGGCTGGTACAATTACAACATTTAAAAGGCATCTGGATGGGTATATGAATAGGAAGGGTTTAGAGGGATATGGGCCAAATGCTGGCAAAGGGGAGCAGATTAGTTTAGCATATCTGGTCAGCATGGACGAGTTGGGCCGAAGGGTCTGTGTCCTTGCTGCATGACTGTAAGGGAGTGAGGCGTCCATGTCTGGAATCAGCCTGCTGGGAGAAGTGGAAACTGATTCGGTGGCAACTCACAAAGAGCTAGCACCAGCACAGTGGGCACAGCGGCCTCCACAAGTGCTCAACGATTCGTGAATGTGCTGCTGACCGTGATAACATCAGCGTCTCCCAGACAGCTCTGAGCACAAACAGCCTCTCTCAGTGACAACAAGGTGCAGGGCTGGATGAACACAGCAGGCCAAGCAGCATCATAGGAGCAGAGAGGTTGACGTTTCGGGCCTAGACCCTCTACTGCCTCTCTCAGTTGCCAGGTCACTCTAGTGCCCGAGCAGCAACCGTGCCTTCTCTCAGTGGAAACAAAAAAAACACTAACAAACCTGGCTTCCCCTCCCTGCTCCTGTTCCTGACAGCAGGGCGACTGTGTTCCTGAGGACAGCAGGAAAGTTACAGAATGGGGATGCATCGAGTGGCCTGACACTTGAGAAGAGATACCCCCTTCAGACTGAGCTCAACATAACAGACTGCAAAGACACAGGCTGACAGCTTTCTACCAGCCCTCACTGGGTCCCCTCAGTGCTGCCTTGAACTAGCCCAGGGGAGGGAGTCACCTATTTGATGAAACTCTCGGAGAACCCAACAACAGAGAGCCAGGTCAAAGTGGGGACATTTAAGGGTTGGGGGTGGGGGTGGGAGTAAGTGAGCACCCTGATCCCAATGCCAGCTCTCTGCCTTTCCTTCTCTCTCAGGAACGACATTCCCTGAAACCACACTGACATGTCTCTTCCTCCCACTCCCAAAAAAGACAAGAACAAAACAGGAAGCGGGCGAGGGCTGCAAATGGGAGACTTATCAGTGGTAAAAACCGCAGCGCGCTCTCTCTCACACCCACACACACACAGATAGAGATAGACACATAGACACACAGACACACACACACACACACACAGAAAGACTGCTGTATTACTGGGGTCCACACACACTCCCAGACACTGGATACTGTATTCCCTTGGAAATTGAGCTCTCTCAAAGCCAACCTCAAAGCAGCAAGTGACAGGCGAACTTCGAGGGGGCGAAAGGCACAAAAAGTTTGAAATGAAGGGAGTCTGCTTACCTTCTCTCGCCTTCAGCAACACGGTGTTGGCAACAATGTTTTCCAGCTCCATTGCTGCTGAGCACTTGCTGGAGGTTTGGGGGAGGGGGGAGGTGAAGATGCCCGAATGCCCACTTGGTTAGCCCCTCTCCCTCCCTGCTGCAGCTTTCCCCTGTCTCTCTCTCTCTCTCTCGGTGTCTCAGAGGCAGAGCAGGGAGTTTCCGGGGAATCCCCTGACGCCTGATACAATGTATCCATCACGTTCCAATTGGCATTTGGATACACAACGTTCCAACGGGCGTGACGTCACCGCCCGGCTGGGATTCCCCCCTCCCCCGCCC